ACCTGCTTATTGTATTACAACACATTAAAGCCAAGGTCAAACATTGAACAAAGTGGTTATTGATTTAAAATTACCAAATGAAACTGATGATATTGCAGCAGTATATGTACCATTATCTCGTGTGAAACGTTTAGTTGATTTAGCTATTCTACGACCATTCGATTACAAAGTTTTACTTATGAAACCAAATAAATCTCAAGTTGCTGAGATGGAACGACTTGATCAGCTTTATATCAACACACAATTGCGTTTCCCAGAATTGTTTCAATAAATCATATACATAATAAAACAATTCTTATTATTTGCATGTAGTTTTACTATGAAAAAATGCAAATTTTTCCTAAGTTCCGTTATCTTTCATTAAATCATGGGTTTCTACGTTTGAATATTCTTTAAAATAGAGATGTGTTTACTTTTCCGATAATATTGTGCATATTTCATAGATATTCATTTTTTGTGTTCATTCTTCTTTGTTTCAATCGAATAGAAAATAAATTTTTGTTATGCAGTTGATTATGGAAGTTCGTGAACAAATCTTCTCAACTGTAGTTCGAATTAGAATATTTTTTGAATTTTCTACGAAATGACTCATAGAATGGTAAGCTAAAAAAGCACTATGACTAGTATATAATAATAGAATCCAAATTATTCTGAATGATTTCAGCAACAGAAAACCACCAATGTTAGTAGTTCAGTCGAGGGCTAAGCGAGTCTGCCTCGACGAGCGTTACTTGTCAATTATAAATATATGGTCAAGAACGTGATATTATTTAAGATTATGAAGAAATTGAAACAGAAATACGAAATCTTGTTAATAGTCTTTGTTTATTTGATTCAAATAATATATCTATGCTCAATTATAAAAATTTCAATTATATTATGAAAATATTTCTCTTATTAAACCAATATTCAACTAGGAATTCCTCAAACATTATTATTTTTAGTTGATCGAGTAAAATTCAAAAATTTACTTGTTCGAATGGATCATTATAATATTGTTGATTGTCTAGACTTCTTTAGACAATATGTTTACATATCTATGCAATATTTATGGTCATTTATCACAAATGAATATACACAACTTTGTTAAAGAATATATGAATACTAGTGCATATCTTAATGAAGATATATTTCGGCGTCCACCATTTTCAACAATTTGACTCATTCATATAATTCCTTTGTATCAATTAATAGAATAAATAGCTTTTTATATTGTAATTCGCAACAAATGTCAAAGCAGAATTACGTAAAGCAGTATTGGATAATCAAGGTAAAAAAAAAAACATTTGTTATTCAAACTTTTGGTAAAGATAAAATTCCATCAGCATTGAAATTACCAATTGTATGGATTGGTGTATTGAAAAGATTAATGATTCGAATATTTAATGATTATATCTATCTAAAAATGCCTCTGCAATTATATATTGAACGTATTAATCTTTGATCTGGTAACATATTTGAAATTGATTTACAAAATTTTGAAGTTGATCAAGACATTTTACTTGAACATAGATATTCTATTATTAATCATATAGAAAAATCTAAACCAATAACAATTATAAATTATTACATAAATACTAATAAATCAGTAAATATCTCACTTGAATATGACCACTAATAATGATACTTGAAAAAACGATAGATTCATCAAATGAAAAGCTATCCGTATGATCTTATTTTATTTTAATTTTTAACTAAGATAAAATTTGTGAGTTTTACTTCAAGACAAAAAAAAAGAAACAATTGTACAGACATTTCTGGTGACAACAATTGATTATGTCGATAGGAATTGAATAATGGTGTAATATCGCTATTATTAGAATAATATAGTGCTTGTTTTTTTTTTAGCCTTTCGTCATAGTAAAATCTAATAACCATCCATATAAAACTACAAGCCATTATTCGACATGGTTACATATTGGAGTATTTTTATTTTATTCATTTTCTATCAGTAAATTCTGATTATACGATCAGAGGAATTTGAAATAAGTAAAAGACTTCTCGACTATCACTGTAGGTGGGTGTGAGTGTTGGTCGGTGTAGCCGTGATATTTGTGGATTCTCACGATGTACGTATTGACATCCACATCCACAATCAGCTTTCAAATTCCTGAGACTTCATTTCACTTCTAAAAAACTTACTGAAAACTCGTAAAACTTCATGAAAACACAAATATACCAGTAAAATTCTCATAAAAACACCAAACTCATCCTATACCTTCTCTCATCTATTGACACTTTACTCTGTAGGTTATATTCTATGCTCTTTTTCGCTTCCATCTAACATAATCTTATGCCGTAAATTGAAATTCCAAGTTTCTATGATGAGTTCCTTAAGCAACAGACAAAACCAGTTGTAAATTTGCTTGAAATATCTTTCAATTTACACTCATTCACATCCGCATCCTCAAAACCTGTTAGATGGTGCCTTCAGTCTGTATTTCATAATCTTTTAAATTTTAGCTCGAATTAGCTAAAATTTTGAATTTATAGGTTTCTCACATTGTTCTTTTATTTTCAATCATAAAATATAGAAGTCAACATTTTCAAGAGTTTGGTCGTGTTCGATTTTCGTGTGAACCGTCTCTTAACAAAATAACATTGTCTATAAATGTAAAATTCATCTTGAATAGATCTCTGTACGGAGTATAGCTGCAGATAAGATTTGAATTCAAAATTAACAAGCAATTATATATGATATATGATATAAAATAAATGACAAAAAGTAAAGGAGATCATTAGCGTTGATGATTTATTTGAGGGATTTTTTGAAATTTTTTTGTTTTGTTTGATAAACTATCACTTTCATACCCTCCATACATCGTTCGAAAAGTATAGTCTATTAAGTTGAAATGAAATTGATTTTGAGTAATAGCGATGATACAGCAGGTGAAACACAAAGATACAAAATTGTTATCAACGAATAATCAGGTCAATTGACATGTAAGATAGTTTAAGTAATTACTCAATATCAATTATATCTTACAACTAACTCGGAATGCCGAAGAAATATTTATATCACTTTAGTTTTAATGAATGATAAAATGATTGTTTTAAAAATGGAGTACATATCTATACTAGAATTTTTAATTATTTTCAATTTTTGTCTAATAGAGAATTTTCTAGTCATATAGTAATTATAATATATTTTGATTTATGTCAAATGGAAACTATGCTTCACTTTCATATTCATAGATCAAAATCATTTTCTAATAAAATTTTTCTTTCCTGTCAAAGCAACAAGTTTCTCATAATTTAATTATTTCAGTAAGATAAGAATTATTGTAGTATTTATCAAAAAGCCTTTTCATATTTAACTTAAGATATTTCTAAAAGAACTAGAAGTCTAATTCTTTTATGAAGTAAGATTCATTTTATTTTAAGCAATAAGAGAGAAATCGTGAATATTTCATATAGAAGATTTTATTGAGAGACATTACGTTTGTTGGTTTGTTTCCCATATGGAAGAAAAATTTTATTAGAAAATGATTTTGATCTATGAATATGAAAGTGAAGCATAGTTTCCATTTGACATAAATCAAAATATATTATAATTACTATATTACTAGAAAATTCTCCGT